GCGCCCTGGCTTGCGGGGGGCGGCCGGATCCCGCCGGCGGGGGCGCCCGCCGCGGATGCCGCCCTGCCCTTCACCCCCAGGCGGGCGACCAGATCGAAGGGTAGGACTGAGGGATGAGGGGCGAGGATGGCCAGGAGCAGGGAAAGGAGGGGTGGGAAGGATGACGATGATGACGACGATGACGAAGACGACGATGACCTATGAGGATGACGATGATGATGATGATTACCTATGACGATGACGATGATGGTGATGATGGCGGTGATGATGATGCTTATGCTTATGCTTATGCTGATGCTGATGCTGATGCTGCTGATGATGATGATGATGATGATGATGATGATGATGGTGACGATCACGATGATGCTGGTAATACCAATGATAATGATGATGACGATGATACTAATGATGCTGATGATGATGACGATGATGGCGATGATGATGACGATGCTGATAATGACGATGCTGTTGCTGATGCTGCTGCTGCTGCTAATGATGATGATGATGATGATGATGATGATGATGATGATGCTGCTGCTGCTGATGCTGATGCTGATGCTGATGCTGCTGATGCTGATGCTGCTGCTGATGATGCTGCTGCTGATGATGATGAGGAGAAGGAGGAGGTGGAGGAGGAGGAGGAAATTGCTGGGCTCCTGGGCCCACAACTTGAACGCAGGGGGACAGACAGTCCTCCGCCTCCTCCCCCCCGCCTTCACCTCCTCTAGCCGCCGTGAGGAGTGCAGACGGCAATGCCAGTGAACAGGGAGCGCAGCCCCCACCGCCGCAGCCAGAGTCGCCCGCCAGCCCTCGTCCCTCGCTGCGAGAAGCCTGCTAGTATTATGTCGGGCGTGTCCCCCTACAGGGGGATTTTCGACGAAAAATAAGCATACCCCCAAAATACCCCAAAAAGGTCAAAACATATTCAAAGAATAGTCCCCAGACTATTTTTGGACTATTTTTGGGGTATTTTTTAAGTTTTTCGTCGAAAATCCCCCTGTACGGGGATAGGTCCGACTTAATGCTAGTACGTCTCCTTCCAGTCGGGGAGCGGCTCCCTCTGATCCCAGCCGCCCCACCTCTTGTTCGCGTCGAGCGCGTAGTACATGCCGACCTCGCCTGGAATCGGCCGGTATCTCCAGTTGGGGTCGTTGAGTGGCGGCTGCATGTACTTGCGGTGGATCTTGTGACTCGTGCCGTAGTCGGAAGAGATGACGGTGTCATGGAGGCTCGGCTCGGAGCTCTCCGCCTGCGCCGTGGGGGTCCTCGCGCAGCTGCGCGGGCACGGGGATGCAGAACGGCACCGGCTGCTTGATCTCCTCGCTCCTGGTGAAGTGCAGCAGGGAGTCCGCAAGCAGCGTGACGTCGGTCTCCTTCTCCGCGAACTCGAAGGGCTCGGGCATGTTCACCGCCCACTGCTCCATCGGAATGTGGTGCTTGTCAAGCATCTACATGCCCGGCTGGCCCTATGCGTTCATGGATCCACACACTGGGGCGAGAACCATCAGGGCCACCTGCACGTGCCAAAGATCCTGCACGATCTAGTGCACACCAACAGGGAGCTTCGTCAGGGAAGCCTTCCTTTGGACGTGTTGAGGGCGATGCTGGACCCAAATCTGGCCGGCCTCAGCCTTACCCGGGACGGAAGAAGTAGCCTGCCCCTCTTCCGTTCATGCGGCAGTCCCGACATTGCCGTTTCCATATGTGTTCAGGTATTCCAGTTGGGTGGCTGCATACTTCGAGCAGCTCTGCTACGTGTACTTCAAGTTCCTGAGGCAGAGCAACTTCTGAGGGGTGCCCTTTCTTACCACTTCGGCCACGTTCCAACGTGAGCCCATCTTAGGCCGCGATTGCTGCACCAGGCCTCTAAGCAGCCTGACTCGTTTGTTTTTCTTGTGGCTGGGCAGCCCCCAGTCTTTTCCATTTCATGCGTTCATGGATCTGATGCGCGCGGTCCAGAAGGGGGTCGGGCGGCACGCTGCCGGGCGGCAACTTGCCGCCTCCCACGCGGGAGCCTGGGGCCACGACGCTGTCCTCGGAGGGTTCCGTCAGGGACAAGGTGACCTTCTTCTTATCAACGTCAAGCCTGGCGATGTACACGTCAAGCGAGTCGCCGATCTCAAGCGCCTCCATGGACATGCCCTCCCTCGCCGTCACGAAGCTCGCGGGCAGCAGCCCCTCCTTCCTGCCCAGGCCGATAGCGACGAAGGCGCCGTACTCCTTGTGCGCGCGAACGGTTTCCTTGAGCTGCTGGCCCTTCAGGTTGCCGATCTTGACGCCGCTGCCGCTGCCTCATGCGGCCTCGACTCCAGCCTCTTTGAGAACCATCTTGTTCTCCGCCGTGTGGACATTGACGACAACCAGGCCCTCGATCTTGTCACCACTCTAGTACTCTGTGCCCTCCTTCATCAAGCGCGTCGGAAGCAGCGCCTGAAACGAGGCTCCGATCTCGATAAAAGCTCCGAAATTCATGACCTTCTCGACTTTTCCATCGATCACC